CACCAGGGCCTGACCGCTCTCACCCACGGCAACGGAGCGCCTATCTGTACCGTCTACTCGCAACGTACCACGGACGACGCGGCATCTGACGGATCGGGTCCACTCGTCGCATTCAACCTCCGCAATTCGGCTGGTGCTTGGGTTAGCCTCCATGAGTTTGAAAAGTTGGCAACGCTGAAAAGCTTGCATGTTCGGACTGGGGGTGTCTGCAGTCCTGGAGGTGTAGCATCAGTACTTGGCTTGAAACCCTGGGAGATGCGGAGGAACTTTTCTGCTGGTTTTCGATGTGGAACAGACGAAGACATCGTTTCTGGAAAACCGACAGGTATCATTCGCGCAAGCCTTGGCGCTATGAGCACCATATCCGATGTGGACTTCCTCGTTGGTTTCATCCACGAGTTCTATCGAGAAGATGCCATGCTCGTCGACGTGAAACCAGGTATCTCCATACCCGGCAAGATCCAGGTACAGGACATCAATATTTACCCTATCAAGAGCTGCGGAGGCTACTCCGTACCTCGGGGCGATGCATGGGAGGTGAAACCCGAGGGCTTAGCTTGGGACAGAGAATGGTGCCTCGTGCATCAAGGATCTGGACAAGTTCTCAGTCAGAAACGATATCCGAAGATGGCCTTGATAAAGCCCTCCCTTGACTTCAAGAGCGGAGACTTGTGCGTCTCCTTCAGCGGCAAAAGGGCCTTTCACGCACCCGATGAGATTCGGATACCCCTTTCCGCAGATCCGACCCAGTTCGACTCAAAAGTTTCGTCTCGTGGAAGATCTTCCCGTGTCTGTGGCGACAACATCACGCCCCAGATCTACAATTCTGACGCCATCAACGGTTTCTTCAGCGACGCTCTTGGTGTTCCTTGTGTATTAGCACGATTCCCAGCGGGTGGACAAGGTCCCGCTATGCGTCACGCCAAAGCAAAACCCCAGAAGCATCAACAAATCAGAACAACAGCGGCCAGAGTATGCCCAGGAGCCTTCCCAGAGTTGCCGTCTCCACCAGATTCGGACTCTGAGCAGCCATCAGGCAAGATTCTTCTCTCCAACGAAAGCCCCATCCTCCTTATCAACACCGTGAGTCTGCGCGCCCTGAATGATGAAATCGAGGCCAGCGGCGGGGAACCAGTACCGTCGGCGGCGTTTCGTGCCAATGTTGTCATTGGCCCAAATTCGGATTCAAAGGATCTAGCATGGGCGGAGGACACCTGGACGACTCTGTCAATAGGAAAGAACGAGTTCAAGCTCATGGGTTCCTGCCGGCGATGCCAGATGGTTTGTGTGGACCAGGAGAGCGGTGAGAGGCATGAAGAACCATTCGTGACTCTGGCGAAGATTCGAAGATTTGACGGAAAAGTCTACTTCGGCACGCACATGGGTTATGACCCCGGCCCGGATACGTTGAGGCCAGCCACGTATCCCACCATTCGGGTTGGTGACACCGTTGAGGTTGATCGCAAGTCGTGATACCCTCTAGTTACTTCTTTCACGCGAGAGCATGACTAATAGCATAAGAATAAGATGGCATTCAATAGCGCACCGAATATGACAAAACGTAGTCCTTCCACACCGTGGCGTGAGCTATGATGTATTTACTTCAATAGAGGAAAAGTGGTCTTCTGAAGTGATTATTGAGTTCAGCAGTTTCTGGCGCCACCCGCGTACTTACACAGTGCATTTATGAATCTGCGCGCGGTTTTCTCACCGCCGCGACCGTGCGCGTTATCGGAAGGACGCGACTTAGATAGCCAAGGCAATCAATTAAACCTTAGTCTGCCGCCTTACCATGTACGTAAGCAAGCCCACCTCGCACGTCTTCCTATCCTAAACTCCACTCACGTCCCTCACCACCCGCAGGCTTTCTTTTCTTCTTCTCCCACTCTTGGCCACACGACATGACCACCGTCACATTCAGGTTCGCCTTCGGACCCATTGTCCAGAACACCTCAGGCAATCAGGCGCCGTTCTGCGATATGTCCTCCACCACTTCGGCCCAACCTTGGGCCTGAAATAGCTCGTTCCCCTCCGCCATATTTCTCGCCTTCCCCTCTTCTTCCATCTCCTTGTGATCCAGCAGTTACTCCGACGTGGTCGTTAACGTCATGCTTCCGCTCAACATGATCTCTTGGCACAATTTCCTCTCCTTTGGTCTACCTCTGGCTTCCACTGAGGACGAGATTTCAAAGACCCGTAGCCGCGCAACCCCTTGAGGTGTCATCGAGGGCTACCCCTCTCCTACCAGCAACGCTGGACCGGCTCCCTGGGTGACTGAGACAGTCTCTGGGGACAAGATCATGCTGTGCTTCTTATAAAGCGGAATACCACGATGTTCTGCTAGACAGCGACCTCCCAGCCCAACCTCTACAAGGTATGTCAAACACATCCCTTGCAAACATGCTACGAAAAGCCGTCAGCTAACAATGTTTGGTCAGTTAGACCGCCGTAGTTGACTATGGCGGTAAGCCATAGCCGGAACGCCGCTTGGCGCCGAAGTCCAATGTGATCAGATAAGCCCTTCGTCACAAGGTCCCCCGAAACAATTCAACAATGCTTGGGCGAAGAATCACAGAGGCTGTAGTCTCGTTTCAAAGGGCCTGGAATTGCCCAATACACTGGACTTGCCGCTCCGGCGAAGTTAACTCTTCCCGGTGGGCTTGTCCTGGGCAGGACGTTAAAAGGCCCACGGCGTTGCAAGGAAGCTACAACGAGCGGCAAGATTCCCATTCAGCATCTTTGATGGGCATTACGGTTACGATTCTCGCTACGGAGTCACATGTGGTAGGCAAGCTGACTATCTGCCCAAGTGATGATGCTAACAATCACAACAGTAACGATCTCTAGACTTGTGATGTCTCCAAGCCTGGGCAACCAAAACGAACGACTGCATCTCATTCATTCAGCAATTAGAGCCTCGGAAAATTTACCTAATTCTGATGAACCGCGACGATAATGATTCATTTGTCTCCATCTTCGGCATTCTCGGGTCTTTCTTTTTGGCCGACTCCGGCGCTGGGTAGTACGTTCATTCTCGGGTTGCTGTGTGCTAGTGAGGCATGCTAATTAATATTTAAGGACAGGGTTCGGAAAAGCAAAACCAAAAAAACAGCTTCTCGGCTGTGTCTTTGGTCCTGAGCATGACTCGAAAAGGCTCAAATGGATTCTCCTGAGCATGAATTAAAAAGGCTCCAATCGATTGTCCTGGGCAGGACGTAAAACTGCCTTGGTCTGCCATGCCATGCCTTGCCATGCCATGCCGGATCAACTGGATGTTCGACGCGGGAGCCTTCTGAGTGCTCCTGTCACATCTCGTGGCTAGAAAGATGGATTCCCTTTCTAGCCTTGTCTCACGACTTTTGGGCGGGCACTTTCGCCGCCGTCCAACTGTCTGTTGTGCGGACGATTGGTTACCGACAATCCTCCGCTCTCGACATTTGGCCACGCTCGTTCTCCAACGATCGGCCACCATTGGCCCGCAGACTCATTTCATCATTACCACTGATGGTTGCTCTGGCTTTGCCAAAGAAGAGCTTCGACCCTGCGTTGGCCCCTTGATCAATGATCACAACAAGATCTGCACATATGGATGTCTCCTCATTTTCGGAGTCGAGGCGTGATATCTGCCATCTTCGTTGAGATCGGCCATCATTGATCCTGATCTCTGATCATTACTGTGTGAAAACTACTGTGTTAACAAAACTGGGTAACTCTGCGTTCAACTTCCTGGAGACCGCATCGCGTTTTTTGACGTTGCGGGGCACATATTGACGCGGAAACCGCTGTAACTGCTGTGGTTGGCTGTTGAAAAGATCAAGTGACACAACCGCTGTCGTGGATTGACAGACGGGGGCAGGATTCAATCTAATGTTGGTCCTGTCCACGTGCCATCCAGGCGGGATCCTTTCTGAAGGAGACAAGCGCGATAGTAAGGGCCTTCTTTGCACCGTCTTAGCAAGGCTACTTTGCTCCGGAGCCAGCATCTCGGACTAGGCCGAGGAGGATCTGCCCCACGAACCACGCCATCACTCAATTTTTGGGTGCCGAATACGTGGGGCTAACGTTTGGAATGGAAGCCGAGGGGCTTCATGGGTTTGGGCTGGTCGCGTCTCTCACACACGGTCATGTTTGTGACCGTTTCAAAAAACCCTATGCTTGATCACAGTGTCGGGGTTTGGTACAGTGGGCAAGAAATCGATAAGGGGGGCTGCAGGTGGGGGATTTCTGGGCAGGGAGAGATGCCTCATGATTCTCTATGCTTCAAGGTAGTCCTGTACAGCCGCAATTCAAACCTGACATTTGTCCCCAAACATGGCGTTCGCAACGTGAAGACTCTTGTTACTTTTGATGAAGAGCTATACTGGTAACCTGGAAGTAGGTGGCGCCCATTCGAATTACCTGCAAACAGCCAATGCCTTAGTCCGCCATGCCGATGACTTGTCTAAGTCTTGGGGCACGCTCGTTAACAAAGCATTTGGTTGGCGTCCATATCGACTTGGTCAGCAATTACCCTGCCGCAGGATGTCATACTTCAGCTTACTACCTCATATGGTCTATGATATTGCTGGAGAAGTGCAATAATCTGTACTTCTCACGATTCACTGCCGACAATGTTAAATACAAACCTGGTGCTACTATACCTCAAGGCTTCAACACCGTCAGAGACATGCTGAATATGTAGGCTCGAGCTTGGGTAAAGGCCTAGCGCAGTGTTATCTTTTCCTTTGGGAGTAGGCACAATGGTGAAAATCAGTGTTGTACGCGGCATTAAAACACTCCTTTTCACATTTCCTTCGTTAATTCTGATTGCAAAACACCACATTACGTCAAGCAAAGATCATCAATTGATGCAATGGTGAATAGTCCATTGTAGTAGCGTGTTGCTATGCTTAAACACAATCTCGTACCAACGCCATTATACCAGTACACTCACAGTCTCGAAGGACCGGATCATAACGCCTCCGTTGTTCCTATAATTGTACGACGGTCATAGATATTGCTTATTTCGGGGGGCTCGGGCCACGAGTCCAGCTAGTCCAGGTCAGCCTCCTGTTCGTTGCAGTAGGTTGTGGATATCATACTTCTGCCACATCTGGCCGATGAACCCAGGTGCCGGCTTAGAATCCGTCATTGATTGTCTGCGAGCTGCGGTGCCATCGTGACGCTTCTGTTCCACGAGGCCTTGGAAAAGGGTGCCTGAGCTCTGTGCGGGGTGCGAGTGTTAGCTACGTCATTTCAAGCACTCGGGATGAGGAGGCACGTACGCGTCTGCGGCCGGTGGTAGGGGAGACGGGGGCGTTGTTGGTCTTTCCGGAGTCCATGATGGCGGTGTTGTTGATGTTCGTGGTTGTTTAACTTGTTGCAACGTTCAGGTTGTGTGAATGTGTTGCTGATTTGTTCTGACCCGGCAGTGAAGAGAGGAGCGGCAGCATGAGGGTATATAAGCAACTGAGCTCTTCCTAAGCTCACCTAGCTCGACCTGCCAGAACAAAGTTCCCAGAGGTATCCTGTCTAGGGTATTCCAGACTCGTCTCCCTTCTCCACGGATGACTTCACCAATGAGGCCAGCGCCCACCCCTCTGACACAAGGGATGCGGGAAAGCTTGTCGATGCGCCGGTCAAGACGATGACGGCGTTTACTCGCTCGCTTCATCACCGGAGGTCTCCAGTAGCGCCCGCCGCACTTCTTTAGTTCAGGGGGGGTACGTATGTATACTTTTACGACGAATCCTAAAATCGGGTTGGTTACATCAAGCTACCCTGAATGTTTGTGTACGTAAAACACCCTTTCCCCTCTCCAAATCGTGCTCCCCGAAGGTGCTTATGCTGTCACTTTGTTGGAGCGGCCTCTGCCGTGTAAGCTCTGGCAGGTACCTCCTGCTGGTCCTCGCTTCTTCTCCTCTCGAGGTTTACCCCGCGCGGGAAGGCCATGCAAACCCAGGTTGGTGGTCTGATCACGTCCTGGGCCGAGATGGCCGGATAGCCAGTCAAACGCCGGCGATCTCAAGCAAAGGGGCCATGTTCCCAGTGTTTCTCCTCTCTATCTGTGCCAGACCAGAGAGCTGAAGGCAAGGGACGGGGACGGGGATCCCAGGCATGGATGGACAAGCAACATTAGAAAAAACACACGAGCGGACGAAACACTGGCAGCATTGTAGACAAAACCCTCGCGAATCATGAGTTGGACACGTGATGGTTTGTTCGATTGGGGCGATGATTGGCACATCCTGCAACATCGACACAGGCACGATAGGCAGCTGTGACGAAGGGTTTGCGGGCAAAAAGTAAGCAGCAGAGACATGCGTGGCAGGAGATTGGCCCAGGACGGGATGGGCAAATACGACGGCATGTTGCGTATGTACGGCTCATCCATCGTTGGCGTTCTTGGTACGCACGGCAAGGATCGTCCGCGGACGTGGGCAATAGTGTGGGGAGACCACCACCGCCGGAAGAGAGAAAGCGATAAGGGGGGGCGCAGCGCCGGCCGATAACGCGGGGAGCTCGACCGGCGCGCCGCCAACAGCCAGGCTGCATTAAGGGTCCCCTGTCCCCAGTAGACCCATACGTCGGTGTGCTCCTTGGGATCGGGGGACTTCATCGTACGCTACGGCTGCAGAGAGGATGTCATTGTCGTATGCAGGGGTCGCTTCGATCGAAGCTTCCGGCATTGTCGACGGCGTCAGGAGGATGAACTGTCGATTGTCTGGTCTGATGGATGATGTAGACGGGCCCGCCGTGCCCGCTAAGCTAAACATCTCAGATAGACGCGGTGGCGGCAGGGCGGGTTTGCGATCGTCTCTTAGTCGTGTGTTCTCTGCAGTGTTTAATCTGGACCCCCCTTGGTAAGTGGCTGGCTGGCCGGCCGCGTCGATCGGGAAAGGAGAATCACGTGACCCGATGATGGAGCTCCAGAGATCGGGATCCACTCCGTCCGCCGACGTTCATCTTACCATCGTCATTCATTCCAAAGGCCGCCCATCACTGCCAGATCGGACGCAGCCACAAAGATCGACAAGAGACAGGTCTGGAACGTGAAGGACCATGAAACCTGGAAAGCTGAGTTTGAGAGGTAATATCATGTCCCAGTTTCCCGGATCTAACCATCCTGGTCTGCGAGACTGTTTAGCTTCTGCCATTGCACAAACCATCCATCAACCGCAAACTTCCATTCACATTCAAGTACAGGACAAAGGCAAGTGTTTTATAGCAAGGATTGACTGTTTATTGATTGTCTAGAGCTGAGTCTAGGGGGACAAGAAGAAGAGAAGGTTTCGGTTGTAAGAAATGATTAAAAAAGACAATTCCAGATTATAAGCAAGGCGAGAAAAGGGAGCCACTGGGACTCGCGCTATTGTGCCCGCAACAAAGTTGAAAGTCCCCAAGATGATGAATGATCCACACCGCTGAACGCTCCCAGGAATAAGTAATCTTCGAAAGTCTTCGGAAACTTTTGATATCAAATCAGAGCCGCGTTATCGGAAGGTTGAGGTATGATCGTGTAAGTCTGAGAAAGCCGAGCCCTCGATCCCAAAGGAACTGGAGAGGGAGGGATGCTTTATCAGCCAGGCCAAGAACTCTTCATGGGTTTCGTGCGCAAAAGTGCCGACGCTGTCGACTGCAAGATGGCCTGCCCGAACCGAGTTCCTAGCTGTAACGGAGCTCTCAGCTTAGAGGCCGATGCCACCGCCGAGGAGACCACCGAGACCGCCGAGGCCGCCGAGGAGGCCAAGGAGGCCGGTGACGACGTTGATGAGGTTGGGGATAGCGGCGAGCAGGTTCTGGAGCGGTACAATGTTGGAGACGCCGCCGGTGGCACCGCCGAGGCCTGATTGACGTTGTTAAGGTTGATTCAAGCGAAGCTAGGAGAGGATATTGACTTACTACCAAGGTTGGACAGGAGACCGGTAGGGTTGAGAAGGGGTGTGAGGGTGCCCTGGAGGCTACCGAGGCCGTTCTGAATAGAGCCGAGCTGTCCGGCGCTGAGTCCGCCGCCCAAAAGGCCGCCGGTGGGCAGGTTGGAGGTAAGGAGAGTGAGGTTGCCAAGTTGGTACTGAAGGCTGGTGGCCAGGGCAAACACCTGCTCAGGAGTGAGGGTGGTGCCCACAGGGATGGCGGAGACAGGGTTGCCGGTGATGCCAGTGATGGCGGTCACCGGAGCCAGGGCATTGCCGGGAACACCCGCGCCTGCGAAGTATGTCAGTTTTGATGCCGAGGTTCATGTTAAGGGGGGCAAGCGCCTTACGAAGGGTCGCGACGGTGTTGAGGATGGTTTGGGAAAGAGTAGCAAAGGCACTAAAGGCATCCACAGCGTTGAGAATGCTGGTGATGACGGCGATTTGACCCAGGTTGCCAAGGCCAGTGCCGCCGGTGATACCGGCGAGCGCGGGGACCAGGTTGACGGCACGGGGCTCGATCTCGCGCTTCTCGACAGCGACAGGGTTGGCGATGGCAGCAGCGCCGAAGAGAGCGAGAGTGACGACGGAGGCCTTCATTTTGATGGGTGGGAGGGGTTTGAAGAAGTGGTTTGCTTGAAGCGTGAAAGAGAAGTGTTCCGAAGACTTGAGAGATGAGAGAAGAAGCGGCTGACTATCCTGTAGTTGAAGCTGTGTGATGATGAGAGAGGATATTCCAACCCAGAAGGTGGAAGATGAGGCCTTTTATAATTCATCCAGCTCACGATTCTCCTCGTTGAAGCTCCCCTCATCCAATTGCCCACCTCGCATGTCGTCGACTCTGGCTTTCCGTCTTCGTCGTCCTGTCCCTCGTCTCGCCCCCTCGACGCCAAGGGAGCAAAGAATTCTGAACGTGGCCTTCACGCACATCCAGCCGCACAGCGTGTAAGACTCGTGAAGCCTCAGACGCATTTCCGAATGAGGTACATCACAACACACACTTGCAACTCCACGCGAAGTCATCCTCACCCTCAACATCGGACCAAGTTGCCGGCCGGTGGACCCTCGCGACCCTGAAGCTAGGGCTAGGCTGTAGCCAAGAAGGTCTAGGGAGGGCGGGAGTCTCAACCCATGCGCCTTTGACAGCTCCTTCCGCGAAACTCGACCAATGGACGTTTGGTGTTGATGGCCGCCCGCTGCCTCATCCGTCCATCGTGTCTCTGATGGATAACTCAAAAGTGAGACACCATCTACGTGGTGGAGGGACGCAACATCTTGTCTCTTGGGCAGCTCATTGGCCGACCGCATCTCTGCGAACGGGAACAGGAATGGGAGCCACGGGGCTGATAATTTCCGCCCAGCCTCTACTCTCTGTGGGCAAGCGCGCATTTCCATATCCACCCGTGCCCCTCACTGAGACAGGACCGAACATCTCGGCCGAAGCTGTCGTGACGTTTGCGGGGAGATATTTCGTGATCAGAGTCAACCCATTCCGACTCCACCGTTGCTCCCGCCGCCGATCACCGGTAGAATTGCATACCACAGCTATTGAGTGATGTGATGTTGTGGTGTATGCCTGCAGCATCCGGCACCGTCGACAAAGCTGCCAAAGATCACCTAAAGATGATCGTTCAAACCTGCTTTTTCTGGAGAGTGTTTCTTCCTGACAACAAGGCTTTTTTCTGTTGAGCCTCTTGCTCAGTTGCCCCTCTTCTCTTCTTTGTACTCTTGGCCGCAGTATCTGCTTTCGTCCTGATGCCATCAAGAAAATCCTGATAGAGTAGGAGAATATTACATATGAAGTGAGGAAAACAATAAGTCTATTTTGTCTCAGCCCGGCCAGCCTCTGAGCCTCCACTTACCTCCTTTCCCGTTCTCCCTAACGGGAGCTTGCATTCCCACCTTGACCCGTTTGAGCCGCCCAAGCATAAGCGGCTTGAGCTGAAGGGAAAACGTGACAACTGACAGCTTTCTGAGGGATCGCAAGTCTCGCCAAAACCTGTCGAATCACGATGCGTGCCCGGGTCATATGGACGTCCTCAAGAATTCTGCCTTGGCAATGGACGGCCGCGGGCCGGCGCTGTCGCACATATTTCCCTCCCGTCCGGCCAACTTAACCGCGGGATATGTTGAGGAGCATTTCATCTCTCTAGCGGGACATGTCGCCATCGTAAAAAACGCAAGACATTGTGCGCAACGTGACCGGAATGGGATCCTCTGAGGCTGAGAAACATGACCGCCTTGGGCAGTTTACAGGCAATGTGGATGTTCGTTTTTTTGTTGGAGCCAAGGCAGCAGCAGTCTTTGTTAGCACCAGTCCAGATCTGGACTGTATCTAAGCCCAGGGACGTGAACGAGGGATTCTGACTACTGCTGGCGGCTGAATCAACATGTTCAGTTGCAAGCCGAGTGCGAATTTTTCCCGCCAAGATGTGGGAAATCCGGGATCAAGTTTTGTTACCACTCCGACTCAACACCAACCGATCCAGTTAGAGGCATCGTGAGAGGAATGGAATGGCATCTCCATGGCTTAGTCGCACGTCATGCCGAAGCGCCGCAGACAAAGACGATCTCGTCACACAACTCATCGGTGATGGGGAGAGACACTTTTGGCCCATACGTAGGTGGACTCAACAACTTCAGCCTGCCGCCGGTCCGCCAACAAGCGTCCGCCCCCGGACTCCAACGTCATTTCCGGTTCTGTCACACCGAGTCAGAAGGGTCCTCAGATCCAAAAGACATGCCAAGAGGGGATTTCGCCCTTACTTCGCAGCCAGACTGCCAATGCTGCGTCAGAAAGGCTCGTCACGTTGCATCTTTCTCTTGATCGAGGGCGTGAGCAATACCTCGAAGTTGAAACTTGCTCCCGGGCGAAGGGCGTCAGGCGGCTGGCTACTTGTCGAGCACAACACTTTTGAACCTTTTCAGGTCAAACCGGACCCTTCCATGTCGGCACATCATCACGGCCGAGCCAGAAATGCCAAGCAATGTGTAGGGAAGGTCTGAGCCTCCACCCTTACAGGCGAAGACTGCTACATTTCGTGATGGCTTTCGGAGCCGGGTCCAGGCCTCCAGAAAACGCCCACGGCCACGGGTCCGAGAGTTCCTGATAGGCCTTCCTTCGACGGGATTACGTGACGAGAAACAGAGACGCACGGTTCTTGTGGTAGCCACGTCCAAGAATGCCCATGTAAGCGGGATTTCTTCTCTTCTCCATGGCGCCGCTGCACTTGGTCAGACCAGTCTTGGCTCCGTCCCGCACAGCCTAGCCACTTCATCCAGTTACCGTGTGTCCAGCTATTACTTCTCGTGCCGTAGCTCGTGCCCAGACTGGCCAGACTGTTGATGCCGAAATCCCTCGTGTCTCCGCTGCACGTGGGCCCCGTCTTTGATCGCTCCGCTGCTCGCGGTAGGCTCCCTTGACAAGACACTTTGCGCGCTATGCGACGGTCCGCCCCTTCGAGCGCGGAGGTGGGCGGGTCCGCCTCCTGAGAATGTTCTGTTCGCGGCAGGCGGGCAGCTTTCTCCAACCTCAGGTCGAATGTCTCGACGGAACCACCAAAGAAACTGGCGAAGACAACCCTCTCGAACAAGCCTTCTCCATCATCCATCGTCATTCCGGGGCGAGGAAACTTCATTCCTTGCTCGAGCCAAGCAAAGTCGGTGATTGAGGGCGGCAAACATGAGCTGATTATTGGTGCGTGAACGATGATGGAAGACACTCAAGTCCGAAGCGGAGGAGAACCCATCTCATCCTAGAGGACTTCCTAATAAGGACGTCTTTCGGGACGGGTCGGTTGCCGAGCCCTGGGGTTTCGGCCGGAGGGATCTCCCTCCCGGGCTTCGATGGCGTGCCTGTATTATTCGTCTTTCTTGTCAAAGTTGCGAGGTTTGCCTTGGATGTTCTGGATGCGAGACAGGGGGACATCCAACTCTTCGGAGATGAACACTACGTTACCTGCGTCAGATGTCCTTTGTTCAGTCTTGTCAATGTCAACATTCCGGACGCCAGAAGATCTCCCTGGGCATCATCACAAAGAGATCGCAATAAGCCTGTGACTTTGCGACATCATGATTATCGTACGAGGATCTGCGAACTGCTCTTGCTAAACGTGTTGGAAATCTCGATGGTGTAATGATCGACCCAAACTGAGGAGACGAGGAAAGGTAAGCGAAGGTAGTAATGAGGAGCAGATACTGAAAGCACACGGAGACCTGGCCTCAAAACTTGAAGCTCCTGCCACTTTCCGGGATATTGCAAGCTTGCTGCTGTTGTTGGTGTTTGATGTTGCAACAATAATCATGTTTCCTATCACACGGGCACAGATACCCTACCTCTCTGTCATGAGGGACCATTCGAAGCCATATCAAGCTTATTAACTATGGCTCCTTCCCATGACCAAACTCGCATGGTGACAGACTAGGATATGCTTTGCCCGAGCTTGTCGTCGTTCCGGGGTGGTCTGCAAGTCTAATGTCTTGCTACTAGGCGAACAGTCGAGATTATATGTCGGCTTCACTGGATGCTTTAGAGAGTTTGGAAGGTCGGGGAGTGTTCATCTCAGATACATGGCACTCGACTGAAGTTGACTTGCTGATTTTGTAAACATCTATATTTCGATCTGAGAATCCGTAGGTTGTGGTTATGAGTGACTGCTAATCACGACACGTGCAGTATTTATGTCCCTGAAGCTTTCAAGGATCTAGAAGGGTTTACAACCTTGTGAAGGCAGTATGAATACGATTCAATTAGCCGAGAAAACTATGTTGGGTCGTAACAATGGTAATTTTATATTCACGGGAACTTTGAAAAAGATGAGTAAAGTGTAGAAAGGAAGAAATGCGCTCACGTTCTACACGAACCAGCGACACATAACGCTGAGCTTATGAAATTCATATTAAAAATGAATCGTAGAGCTGTCAAAATCGCACATCTATAAACCACTCGTCAAATATACTAAGTTGGAAGTTTTGACGCGTGTTATAGACTTTCATATTGATGTAATATAAGACCGAGTAGGTTGAATATTTGGGGTAGTAATCAAGGGGAATGCTCTTTTTAGAGTTGAAACCGTAAGGTACACATGATATGAAGCTGAATACAGATGGCCAGGAGACAAAAGCGTCTGGACATTGCGACAGAGACAGAATCTTCTCACATCAATAGTATCTGAATCTCAGACAAAGAAAATATATCTTTGCACCAAGGAGGCTCACAAGACCTTTGTTCATTGTTAGCTATCAACAAAGTTTTTTCGTAACCTCAAAGGATCAAATTACAATGTTGCGAATTTCTATCACACTCTTTAATAATCTGTACCGATACCTTGGGCAGCTTGAAACAAAAGAGAGGACCAACGCCGGCAAAAGAAACCCATAAAGATGTAATAAGACAACTAGGCTGGATTACGTTGTTTGGTAACAAGCTGATGTGTTTTCTCATTTCCCCCTTTGTCCGGAAAGCACCAGTCTCTGAAAGAGTAGAGAAGATGATGTTGATAAGTAGAAAAGACCTCAACAGCGACAGTTAACGAATTTCTTGTTTTCTTCAGAGACATATTTATCATACAACGCAAACACCGACATTAAGAGCACCGCAACCCAGTTGACCTCAAGAAACGAGAGACACCTTCGACTACCACACCCGCAGAACCAATCGTGACCAGTACCTACAGCAACAAAATAGAAATAATAACAACCGCCACCGCCATGTGCTACGGAATCATGTCATATTCATGCTCCCACAGCATCAAGAAACGCTTCACCTGCCGGGAAGTCCCCAAGGACGCACCGTGGAGCTGCCACGCCGTCATGACAACCCTCTGCGGCGCCCGTCCCGGGGAGCAATGCGACCAGATCCGCGCAGACAAGCACTTCAACGTCCCCCACAGCTGTCCCGACTGCCAGGCCGCCGACGAGTCTGGCGCTCTCCCGCACAGCCGCACCACCCACAACCGCTTCAAATCACAACTGGGGCCCGAGGGCCTGCGTGCCTCGCGCCTGCGCAAGGAGGCGGCGGACAAGAACAAGGAGGCTGAGCGCGCTGCGTACCGGGACAACCGCATCGCCGGGCAGATCGCCCGGCGAAATGCGACCGCTTACCTCGATCACCCGCCCATGCAGATGCCGTCTGTCGTTAGTGTTCCGCTGGGTAATCGGGCAATGAGCCAGGAACCGTCGTATGGTGCGCTTCGGCCGGGTGCCCTCAGCCCTTTGCAAATCTTGCCGCCGGCCGTGGACAATGAGTATAACCCCGATGATGAATCCGTGAGCGTGAAACGACCCGACGTGGACCGGTATGGGTATGACCAGTACCGAAGGGACGAGCAACAGCAGAGCGAGCATAGCATCGACCCGCATGGAAGCTACAAATCTAGGTACGCATCGAGAGACTTGACTCCGAGCAGACCGGCTCCCTCAAGACCAAACAGGGCGAGACCTGACCCTCTTCGACTGCCCCCTCGTCCTCGTTCTTCGGATGACTATGTTCCATCGATTCCAATGTCGCCAGTGTCGCCGCTTGACGACGAGCCGAGTAGGCCTCGCCGCGGTCGGCGGGGCTAGAGGCCCACCCCCCTGAGGTCCTTCGGGTCGCTTCGCAAGACGCACAGCCAAAAGCTCGCAGGAAAGAGTCCAAAGAAACTGGCCCGGTTTCATGATCTCAAGAGGATTCTCAGCTCACCCACTCGCCCGAATGCTCGTACAGACTCCGTCATCTCGGAGTCCGAATCGATGGCTTGTCAAGATGCTCTGGCGGTGGAACGTGGGATGCCTTAGCTCACCTTAGCTGGGTACGATGACGGCCTGGGAAGACAAGTTGGTGAGTGAATGCTTCGTCCTGTTGAACTATGTACTCGCTTCGCGCATCTTTGCTGCAATTGACATAGACAGATAGAGCCTCCTTTCCCTGCCCAAATAGAACAATAACCGAAAACAAGCAACGCGCAAGGGTCCCGTGCAAACTCTTGTTGGCAAGTGTCATGACTCGACCAAGATACAGATCCAATGACTGACAATCTGTATACGCGTGAGCTCAAATTGGTATCTGATGAAAGTACTCCGTCCGGTGAAGTGATGGCGCCTGCCCGAATGCTTCCATGCGGCGGGTCCTGTGCCCGTTGATCTCTCTGTTCAACCACTGCTTCCCCTTGTAGCTTCGTTGCCCTATGTTTGCTGATACCTGTTGACAGGTGAGTGCGGCACTTGACGTCGGGCCGGCGTCTACAGTGCGATTTTTCAAAGAATTGCGTAATACTCGCATTGCCATCGTGAAGATTGTGCTGGCTGGCTTGCGTGTAAATTATTGGGCCTTGCCGTTCTTGGCCTCTCCATTGGCCTTGGAGGCCTTGAACTTGGCAATCTCCTTCTGGACGGCCTTGTCGACGCGTGCCTTCAGCTCCGCGCGGTAGCCCAGCTTGAAGAGAAACTCGAGCCAGACGAAGAGAGGGGCCAGGAAGACGGCCTGGATCAGATTATCCAACAAAGCAGGGGCACGGCCCTCAAAGGCGCCGTGTCCGATGAACTGGAAGATCCAGCAAACAACGTGGACGCCGATGGCGACCTTGTTGGTCAGGTCGGGGTTCTCAAGCCTGAAAGAGTTGCCAGCTGCAGTGGCGCCCAAGCAGATGGCGGCCAGCAGGGTACCGGCGACAGGCTCGAGGAGCACGTACAGTCCACCCCAGGTCAAGGCTGCAAGTGTTCCCAGGTTGAGATCTAGATTGGGGACTGTGAGCCAACTTGGAAGAGGAATGAGAGTTCCTGTGTTGGTGGCCTAAGAAAGATGAATAAGCTGGACTGCAAAGCCCCGAGTGTCAATGCATTAGTCACTTACGAGACAAAAACCCGAGAAAAGGATCATGGGCACGCATGCCATGTGAATGCCAATGTTGACAGTATTATGGTGGTATGCGCCATACTTTTTGACGAAATTAGCAGTGAACGGACGAGGAGACTTCAGAGACTAAGCTGTGGACTCACAAAGGTCAAGTGTTTTTCCAAGTCAAGAGACATGTTGGCGGTTTTGGAGATTGGATGATGTTGAGATCTAAGCCAAAGCGAGGCAAGTGATGGAAGCCGAGGATTGCTGCAGGACCTGAACGAGGCTGCAAGCAGGGTCGAGGCTCAGCCGCAGCAGAAGGGATGGTCGGGAGCGTGAGCAGATTAGATGGGCGGAGTGTGGTGCGACCCAGAAGCCAGTGTCGATCTCTGCCCTAGTTTCCAACAATGGGCGTGCTGTATGTTGCGACAGGTCGGGTTGGCGATGTCAAGGCCGTAGAGTAGGATGGAAAATGAAGGAATGCCGCGGTGTTCCGGACTGGTCAGGACAGGGTTGCAATGGTGTTCATATGCGTCCCACTCGCGCACAGCACGCCTGGAGGGTGAGTGCGCCGTACGGTGGAAGTGGAAGCCCGTGGGGCCGGCCGCTGGGCGCGTTTTTGCTTCCGTTCAGGGAGGTTGTAGGGGAAGGACCGCTGGGATCTAACTTCGAGGAGCCCAAAAGGCAGGTCGAAGGACCCCGGAGCCCAAGGCTAGCAGGTGACAAGGGCGATAGGAGCGGCTCCTGACTGGCGATTTGGGTGATCGAGTCCACTAAAAACCGCTAAACGTGCATGCAGCGAACATACGACCTGCCTCGCCCAATCTGATGCCGTGGATTTGTCGTGTGAGCGCGTTGGGGGGCTGGAGACGCTTTCGACCGGCTGCCCAGATTCAACGACGTGATACGGTTTTTGGAGGAGCGTAGAAATTGGCCGAGCAGACACAGGCCCAGACACAGACACTAAGGCAATTGACCCGAGGCACCTTGACCGCATAAGAAGCCGGCCAGCCCTCATCTCAACCACCACTCAAATTTAGTCTGGACGGCACAGGACGACTGACTTTAGGGTTGCGGTTTCTGCCGTCCGTGGCGCCACCCTGTCGCATTCCTTCGCCTCTCGCGGCGCGTACACCGTCATCTCAAACCAATCTTGCTATCGTGCATTCAGTCCTGAAATCTGACGTCTCACTCCATGCAGACTTTCCTTCATCCCGACTCTCATGCTTACCCCAATCATGGCTCATGGAGTAAGGGAGGTAAGGTATTGTACGCAGCAGGAGGAGACTGGGGGGGGCCACGAGCATGTCGCGTTAGCGTAGACGCGTTAAGTGCGCTATGTCAAAGTGTGGCTGGGGTAACGTGGCACATGCAGTCCTAGCATGAGCCACAGGCATGTGCGTGTGTGGCTTGACTCTACGCGCTGGGATGTGGCTACGCAAGGCCAGAAAATTAACGAGCCACATTTGGCAGCTGCACCTCAACTCAAGCCATCGTCTTCAGCCTCGTCTTGTGCAATCTTTCTCTCTTCAACCGTCGAGTCACCGACGACGGCGCATCACCTTCCCCCAACGGCGCGCAGTGGCACCTTCCATCAAAAATTTCCTGACAATTTGCGGTTCTCTTTCGTTCTCTAATATTGCGCTTGCTCTCACGAGACTTCCAGCGTGCCAGCGACGTCACACGCGATCGCTCGCTCCTGCTGTTTTGAAGGCCATACAGCTCTAAGAAGCACCTTTGGAACTCGCGCATCTAGGCCACCTTCTTTATCAAGCCGATCACATCGTCCAATTAGACCTTCCGCCGCGCGAACTCCTCCCACCGTGCCCTCCTCGATCGCGTCCGATATACACCTGACTACTTGCTCGACCAAGTTCGGGCGACGACGAGCCGATCGAAGTTGGCAGGCGACTCTATCTCCCGCAAGCGCGCCGTAACTCTTGCCAAAATGTTCTTCCTTTACAATATGGAGCGCAGGGTCACCCTGCACCCTTCGTACTTTGGGCGCAACATGCACGAGCTGGTCACGAGCAAGCTGCTGAAGGACGTCGAGGGAACCTGCGCCGGCAGCTACTACATCATTTCCATCATGGACACCTTCGATATATCTGAGGGTCGCATTCTTCCGGGCAGCGGTCTGGCCGAGTTCACCGTGGGCTATCGCGCGGTCGTGTGGAGGCCCTTCAAGGGCGAGACGGTAAATGCTACAAATCTGCCTGGCTCTGTCGGGAAGCGGATTCTGACATGACCCCCAGGTTGACGCCGTGGTTTACTCGGTCAACCACCAGGGCTTCTTCGCCCAGGCAGGACCCTTGCGCCTCTTCGTGTCGGCTCATGTACGTCCCCGCTTCCGCGCCAGCCAGGCAGGACCTCAAAATCACTAACTGCGAGCCTCTCTCTTCTAGCTGATCCCCTCTGAGATCAAGTGGGATCCCAATGCCACGCCGCCACAATTCACCAACAATGAGGACACCATCATTGAGCCTGGCACGCATGTGCGCGTCAAGGTTATTGGTACGAGAACGGAAGTCGGTGAGATGTGGGCCATTGGCAGTATCAAGGAGGACTACCTTGGGTATGTTGTCCTTCAGGGAATTATCGATTGGCCTCGCTCACAAACATCTCGAAAAGCTGTCTACAGGATTAGAAACCTTGAAAAGACGAATGGATCCAAGAGGCTTTGGCCCCGCGCCACTGGGCCGTGCAGTTCTCCATTGTATATGGCGGTACTGCTCCCACTGCTGGAAGCCAAGCCAATACGTCTGGACCCGTTTGCCGACCGTGTTGGAGGACATCCTTTGCTGCCATGGCAAGAAGTCTTGCTCATCAGCGAAGAGGAGGCCGTGGCTGCAAGAAGGCCGGGCTTCGGCAGAACCGCCACGAGAACCACTCGCGGACCCGTTTTCTGCAAAATTGAGCCGCTTATGAGAAAAGCAAAAGATAGACAAAAGTTTGGGGGCAAGAGGGGCGTACACATGCCCCATTCAAAGAGAGAGCGCGCCATTGAAAAGAATGTCGACGCAAGGCATCGGTTTGCGTCTTCACAGCTGTACACTAACTTTCTCACATTCTACGAAATGAAAAGCAAGCCATGAGAATACAGTACAGGGACCTTGGGCTGTGACTGGTGAGAATAAGTCTTTTCTTGACGACGGTAACATCGTTTGCTCACATTACACACCACGGCATGAGCGCATGGCAATCGTTTGAAAAGAGTCTGTGTCATGATCCTGTTACGCTGATTCGATGAGACGCCGCTGTCGACCTACGATCCTCCCTCTCCCGGTTTGACCAAACTTTTCTCTAAAACGAAGAAAATCAAAAGCAGGTAGAAAAGAAAAGAGACCCAGACTGCCACGAGCATGCAGCAGCCAGACAGGATCCCCCCGATTTTCTCCCTTTCTCTCAGCTCATCAGCTCTATAACTCGACGGTTTGGTTCGGGTTCTCTCCTCCATCCACACACGTCCCGTTTCCTTTTCCCCTCCTCGCCGTAATTACATAAAAGGGACACACGTTCAAAAGGTTTCCCCCATTTGTCCCATGGAAATGTTCGCTCTCGTTTCTTTTTAACCTGATCGCCAACCCTTCCCTTCCCACCCATACCATGACGCTATGTGAAAGAGTTGGCCAAAGTGGTTAAAACGGAGCGAAGAAGACAACAGGTGAACCACATTCATGAATTTCCGCGTAGACGATCTCTCGACAAACCAACCGGGCTCATAACGCGCCCTTCTCTTAGTCGTCGTTATCCGTCCTCTCCTTGGGCTCACGGGGCTCCCTGGGCTCGCGGGGCTCGCGAGGCTCTCTAGGCTCACGCTGCTGTCCGTCACGGCGCTGTCCGCCTCTCTGTTGACGACCGCCGCTGCCGCCCTCCTTGTCGGCGTTCAGCTTGCGCTCCGCCTCCTGCGCCTCGCGCTCCTTCTGGGCCTTAGCATTGGCCTGCTCCTTGCGAATGACGTCGTGCAGGTTTGACAGGGTGCCCTTCCAGCTGTCCAGGCGGGTGGCGAGCTCCTGCCATTGCCTGGTACCGAAGACGCGGTAGGTGACCTTGTGGACGAGGAAGACCTGGTCCTGCTGGGAGAGCTTGCCCTCGACGAGGCCGGCGCGGATCACATCAATGGCCCACATCTCGACGTCCTCGGCGGGAACCTGGAGAGCCTTCGCGACGGCGGAGTACTCGATGCGGCGGGAGGTGGTCTGGGCGGCGAGGGAGGCGAAGGTGAGAAGACGCATCTTGCGGTGGAGGCGGTCGTGGTCGAGCTTCTCCTTCTCGAGCCAGCCCTGGTGCTCGTCGTTGAAGTCGTTGTAGTCCTCGAGGTCCTGCTCGGCGACGATGTCGAGAAGCTGGGAGTAGACGGGGTGCGTCTCGGACAGGTTCTGCACGGTGGGTATGCTGCGGATGTCGGTGAAGAGGAAGTGTGTGTTGGAAAGCAGGGCGTCGCGGACCGCGCGGAGGGACAGGCGCTGGGCGTCCTCGGAACCGACATCGTCCTTATCGTCTGCGTCAAAGGTGCGCAGGGCCTTGAGAATGTATTCGTAGCTCTCCCTGTCTGGGTATCAGTCTCCGATGCTCTGTCTTTCCAACTCTTCCAACGGAAACAAGGACAACTCACTCTTCCTTGCCGGCCTCCTTGGCGACCTCGGCAATCTCCTCGTACATCTGTCTCTGGAACTCGTCGCTGGTCTTCCAGTCCGCGAACCATTCGGGGAGCTGCTTCAGGTAGGGCTGGATGGTGTCGAACATGGCGTTGGCCTTGAGGAAGCGCAGGATGGCCATGAAGACGTTGTAGCGTATCGGGTTCTCGGGGGCGATGAGGTTGAAGATGGTGCTCAGGGCGTTGAGGCTCAGGCCGACGCCGTTGACGGGGCTGGAGGCGATGGGCTTGGAGAAGGCCTGGCAGAGAGTCGGGAGGTGCTTCTTGGGGTCCTCGGACTGGAGGACGAGGTGGACCATGAGGTTGGACGCGGCAGTGAACTCCTTCTCGGCCACCGACGTCAGGGCCGTCGACGAGCGCACCAGCTTGGACAGGACCTCCTCCTTCTTGGCCTCGTTCTCGACGAGGGGCTTCACCTCGTCGGCGATGTGAAGGTAGTCGGCCATCTCGCGGGCGAGCTCCTGGAAGGAGCCGTCGACGAAGAGCAGCTGAGGCTGCGCCTGTTGCTTCGCTCCCGCCGCCATGATTGCTGGTTTTTCGCGGTATCTGACGAGGGTTGTCGGGCCTTCGGGTTGAGAGGGGGGTGGGATGCGGTTGATTGCGGAGGTGTTGGCAAATTTGGCTGGGAGGAGGAGTAAGAGAGGGACCCCGGAAAAAAAGAGAATGCGAAAGTGTGTAGAGGGGCGTGTGGTTTGCGGACGACGGAGACAGGGGGTCGCTCTGTCGTGCGGTATGTCTCTTGCGAAGCCCGTGTCGACCTGCGGTTCGATGGAGGGGTGTGGTGGAGGAGGGCAATTTTCGCTGTTTTCTGCCACCCGACCGACTTGTGGGCTTACCTAGGCGAAGGCGGTGAAGCCAGGCCACGGTGCCCCACCCCGTGGCGGGGTACCACCTGGGATTGGATGGATGAGGCTCTGTATTCACCAGAACCGTACTTGAAAGCTTGTTACTCAAAGCTTTACTTCATAGACAAGTGAAAATGGCCCCAGTCGGGTTCTTAGATATGGAATCTTGCACCAACTTTTCACCTCACAACGCCGAAGCGCTTTTAGTTCCTTCGACACGGCCCCGCCTCGGGCTGCCCCATAAAGACAGTGGAGGACCCGGTTTCCGCTCGGAGCCGGTATGGCAGCGGCCGGCAGTCGTTTCCGCCCTATTTGTTAAAACGGCGCCGGTGTAGCAAACAACCCGAACGCTTGGGACACTGCACATTCGGAGACAAAACCTGAGATCATCAGCAGACACTCTCCTCCAACATATGTGGCATGCCTAAAACCTTTCCTTGATTAAAAGGTTTATATTGTCTCCAAATAATGTCAGATATGTCAGGACGCCAACTTTTGCCGTTCCCATCCAGCCTCTCGGACACCTAAATAAGACAAAAATAAATACATCCCCCGTTCACTGAGGAGATGTCATCACCGGCCCTACAGTCAACACAGATATGGTCTCCGTGGCTCGGACGGTAAGGAAACAAACAAATACATGACCTTCGCCGACTGTGTCTATGACTCGCGCGTCCCATACCCTAACCATGCTCCTAACGATTCAACAAGTTATTATAACCATTAATCCTCCTTGCTACCATTCTGGGCCTCTGTGGAAATGTCGGCCTTCGAATAGATGCTATCGCCGTCTTCGCCAAACAGAGGCTGATCGCCCTTGCCGCCCATCTCCACGAATTCGTCAACGTTTCTTTGTGACGCAGGGTCGGCCTCCTTCGGTGTCATGGTCGTCTTCGTCGTGTTCTTGGAATAGATCTTGACTGGTTTCTGCTTAGGGCCAGGAGATCTTTCCGCAACTGCTACCGAGTTCATTGAGCTGAGTAGTGTCCGCTCTCTGACGACACCGCGGCGGTGGACTTCTAAGCCCTGTATGCCGCCCACCAAGCCATCGGTGCTGTCGTTAACTCCTGGTTGCTTCTGCGTCATCCAGGGGTGGTTGAGGCATTGGTCAACCGTAAAACGACGCTCGGGATCAACTACTAGCATTGAGTCGATGAGGTCAACTATCATAACGTTAGTCATAACGTATCGTTTTGCAGCGCGTCTGGGTCACCTACGAGCAGGGTCGCCTACTGAGTCCCAGTATGGCGAAGGGTAATCGAAACGGCCGCTCTTGATCTGTTGCGACAGCGTGAACGGGAAGTCCTTGGAATACAGTTCGTCTGAAAACGGCGGGAAGCCGCAAAGGCAGATGTAAAGGACAACTCCGAGTGACCAAATGTCGACAGCCTTGGTGTACTTCCGATGCCTGCCCTCAGCCAAGATTTCGGGCGCCACATAGCTGGGTGTTCCGCACAGCGTCGTCGTGAATGACTCTTCACCAATAATTTTAGCCAAACCGAAATCAGCTAGCTTCACGTGCAAGTCTGTGTCGACCATCAGAATGTTCTCTGGTTTAATGTCCCTGTGTACGATGTTGCGATCATGCTTCTCACAGTTAGCGGATGGAGGACATTGAATGTTGTCACAAAACTTACCAGGTACTTGATACCCTGAAACAATTGCGTAAAGAGTTTGCGCGTCTCGTCCTCGGTAAGCTTTTGCTTCATGACGATGAAGTTGAACAGTTCGCCTTCTGGAGCCAGCTCGAGGACAAGGTACACCGCATTGCGTTCGTTAAACGTGTCCTTCAAGCAGAGAACGTTGGGGTGGCTAACGCCCATGAGAACGGCAATCTCCTGTTGCAGACCCTCCTGTTTCGATCTCTCCTCCATGCCGGCAGTCTTTGTGAAGATCTTAACGGCGTACCTTTGGCCAGTAGATTTCTCGACGCAAAGGAAGACCTCGGCGAAGTGGCCCTTGCCAAGCTTCTCCAGCAGCGTGTACTGCTGAAGAAAAGCGCTCGTCTGCCGGCTCTTGGGGTATCTGAAGATGAAACGAGCCTTGTCAAGCACCGCGATCTCGTCCTGCTCCTGGAGCTCTCTGCGCTTGTTGCGACCCACGTTGGCTTCATTGACATAAGTTCCGTTGCTAGACAAATCCTCCAAGATAGCCACGGTGTCGCCGCCTTTGTTCTCCGTAAATAACAGGCAGTGTCGATTTGATACCACCGGGTCTTCAACCACAATGTCTGCCTTTCGTCAGCGTCGTCGTACTCCCACTAGAATGGAAACCAATTCGCAAAGCTTACCACACTCCGGATGGCGTCCAATCAGGTATCCGCCCGAGGCGACGCCCTTGATCTTGGTCTTTTCGTAGGCCTCCTCTTCCTTCTTCAGGGGCGATTTACCCTTCCTATCCACCGGCTCCGTGTCCTGAGCCTCGAGCTTGTCCGGCATGGGGCACGCTGCCCTCTTCTTCATGACCAAGCACTTGCCGTACTTGGTGTCAAGCGGGAACAGGTAGCCCCAGACGCCCTCCTTCACCTCGTCCTCGACCTCGTCACATAGCACATCCTTATTATCGGCCGGGTACTGGGAAAAGGCCTGTGTGT